CATCTGGACCACAGTGTTACGTTCGGAGGTCGATCGATAAACATTGACTGGACGTTTCGCCAACGACTTCTCTCCTCAGGGGTGGACACGGGACTCTTAATCTCCAGAAAAAATATTGATATTTTATTTCCAACTGCTGTCACAATTCGGCCCCCAGCGTTAGAGAGCGCTCCGACGGCTAGTCGCGGCGTAACAGTCCTGTTGCCAGGTAAGACCGTGGAGAATATCTCCCCATAGCCCGATTCGTAATCGACCAGACTGAGCTTCTTTGAAGATGATATTTTTATGAGGTAACCGTGGGGGGAGAAATTCGGTGCTGACAGTGAGCAATGAAAATTTCGTTCGCAATGACGACCTCACTAGAAACAAGTCGTTTGTTTTTGGTCGAACGGGTCGGGAAAAAGCCGATAGCATCAATTCCCTCCTCATCATGTTCATCCAGTCTGAGTGCCATAGCGCTTTCTCCTCCCCAGTTGTTGTCTTCAAATGAGATCTCCCGCGCTGTGTTCACCTACACCCGTGGTACGATCGAGAATCATTCAGATGAAGCTCAACGAAAAGCAGTGTGGGAGAATATACACATTGTCAACTACATGTGTTGGTGGGAATATGAAGATTCTGAGAGGAAATTTTGGGGAGTTCTATCTGGAATCGTATGCAAGCTTCTATAATTAGTGAGGAAACTCCTGAGCTCAGCTGAGAAAAGCAAACATATATTCCCCCAACCCTGATGAAAAGCCGCTACCGAATGGTTACCATACTCAGCGTTATTTGCGAGAAACGAACCTTGAGTGCCAGCGCATTCACATGAGCGTACCGGGACAACCATCAGAATAGGATGTTCTCTCCTATACGAGGCTCACCAAGTGGCAATATCGCGGGGACCATTCGCTCGTATTGGGTTCTATGCCACTCAAGAGAGCTATGCGATGCTTCCTCGAGTCCTCCAGAGTACGCTGTACGATACTGAGTAGCTCTGGTGGCGATGAGGTCGCGATAACGATGTGAGTGAGGCATAAAATGTGATACCGTAACATGAGAACTTCATACAAGCCCTTCGCGGATTTAGTGACAATCTGTATGAAGAAGTTCCCACTCGTTTGAATGACAGCGAAACACTGCTGATATCGTTGGGCTCATTTTCACACTCCATAGGACTCGGAATCGGGTGAGAAACGGCGCTTCCACATAACGTGAGTCCGAGCAACAAGATCGACAGCTTTACGACGGTTCAAAGGCTGACCACCGTGCATGAAGGAGTTGATGACGCCACTGAAAAAGTCAGAATGAAGGTCCTCAGAATACCACTGCTGGGCTTACTGTGTTGGATATTTATACCATCTGAACCACTCCCTAATGCCCGAAATGGTATTGGGATAAGCTGATTCCAACTAAAACGGCACAGATAGGAGCTCCCATCGGAAAACCATGACTTTAAAGTGAGCGTGTCATGTGCATTTGCGAATGCTTTCTCTCAAGAAACAATGGTAGTTCCCGTCGAAAATTATGGAAAAAAAACCTTTTTTCCGGAAAAAATTTCGACAACTATCAAGAGATGAATCAATGAACTGATACACTCATTCCAGCATTATTGGAATATATGTTGGCTCTCCTCAGTTGACCTCGAGAGTTTCTCCACCAACTGAAGGCGTTAACACTAGACTTGGTGTAGAGGTGCGCAGAAACGAACAAAAATTTCCCAGAATTTTCACATTGCCATCACCAACACACGTAGTTGACCATGTGCATATTTCCTCCCACACTACTCGAACCGTCATCGCAAGTGACCAGCATTACATCATTTATATCGTTAATCCGGTCGAACAACGGATCGTCGGTCGCTATAACGATGATTTTCCAGTCAGCCTCTCCACCATCGACGAGGCCCAGGGCTCCCAGAATCTGAACGACCCCCAAAGAGTACTACTCTAAGCTTGTTTAACTCTATTCAGAATTCTAGCAGTACTACTGGTACTACTCTATTCGGAATTCTAGCAGTACTACTGGTAGTACTCTATGCGAAATTCTAGCAGTACTACTGGTAGTACTCTATGCGAAATTCTAGCAGCACTAGTACTATCCTATACTGGTACTACTTTAACGCTGATTATTTGGCCTGTATGATACTGAGTCGCTGGTCGGCCCACTTCTATCAAGTCTAACGGATCTCCATCGCCATAGAGACCTACTTCCTCCTCGACATTCGGGTCCTGAGATGAATCAACTGTCCTTAGCGATGCTATCACATACTTTAACACAGTGTTGGAGAATATGCACATGTTCATGTACGTGTGTTGATGACAATACGAAAATTTTGAGGACATTTCGGGAAATTCTTCGAAATTCTCATCATTCACACGAAAGCGGGCAGAAGTGTACAGAAACCAACGAGAATTTTCCAAAATTTTCTCAGAACTATTATCACGTGATTGACTATGTGCATATTTTTCCACACTGTTCCATCATAGAAAGAATAGAAGTACAACCAACAACTCGTTAATTTCTCGCCGACCTCGAACGTCTGTGGAGCCGCGCCATAGTTCCAATATATAGCTCCGGGATACTCACGCAGGGATCCATCTGAGAACAAGCATAACGACCGAGTGCAGACGACGAAAGTCACCTTTGAAAAGATCCTGTTTGATTGGGTTCACGGCAGGGTAGTTGTACGATTCACGACTGATCTCCATCTTAGCACGAGTGAATCGAGGAATCTCCACCGCCATTCTAATAAGGCCTTCATCATTCTCACTTACATACAACGGAACCTATCACGATAATATATAGCGAAAACACTGAGGCATTACATCGTGCCAGAAGGATATAGGCTGACACTCAGATGGATCACCCGATGAACGTGTGCAACACTCGAGCTCATACGTGGTCGTACCGGCCTGGCCAACTGGGATGATACCAAACTCCTCAGAGGTCCCCTTTGAAGATCTGGCAAGGTCTAAAGCCTTAGGGGTGGACCGAAGCCACTGGAAAAGAGATAATGACGAGTAGAAGAAAAGGCCGATCAACGATAGGGTTAGTATGATGGGGTAACGTGAACGGTTCTTTCGTGATGATCGTGTTGGTCGTTGCATGGTCATTTTATGGCTCTCAATCCAAACTGAACGCATGCGCATCAGGATATTCCATTATCGACCTAGTTTGCATCTTTTGTGGTCGACCTCAAGATACTTGGATAGGTGTAATTGGACAACTACCCCACTTTGATATCCGCTAATTAGGAGACTCAACTATTAACGCGACCACGTCCACTAGAAGCTTTTATATGTTCACAGTAGGAGCCATGGAGTGAACTCATGTGAGCTATCGTGTTTGAAAATATACAGCTGAATTCAGTATAATACAGCGGGGACAAATTCCTAGTAATTGCCACCATTTCTGCTCGTCGGGCCACAACTTTGTGCTTGCGTTGCTAATCCGAATAACTTCGGGTAAATTACAAAATCCAAGGAGGTTGTACAAATTCCAAGGATGTATATCGCTCGCCCTAACTTTCGCGCGCGCCTTTACTTTGTACAAAATCCAAGGATGTCACTTTTCCCATTCGGGTTTCTGGTTGCCTTGGGTAACAGCTCTCACCTTTATAACAGTTCGGGTTTCTGGTTGCCTTGGGTAACAGCTCTCACCTTTATAACAGTTCGGGTTTCTGGTTGCCTTGGGTAACAGCTCTCACCTTTATAACAGTTCGGGTTTCTGGTTAACTTGTCGGGTTTCGGGTTGGGTTTCGGGTTTCCCTTTCTACGATTTCCCTCTGTTCTCCTTTTTTCCTTTTTTGCTACCTATTCTGATTACTAAGCGCTATTGGGTTTTCAGACATTCGTCACTCGTGTCCCTCCCTTCCCTGCCACGTGACGTAGGTGGCCCACGTTACATTGTGACGTGGCCCACGTGCATCACGTGACGTATTCGCGTTCCTACGGACCATCCTGTATGGTACATCCACTCCAACGCAAGTACCCATCCCTGGATGCACATTTCTGCAACGCTAGTATTCACCGTAAGTAACCTTTGTTAAGATGGGTCTCTGGCCCTCAGAATGACATGCAAAGTCTACGTTATAGACTCGGGTTTAATCATTATAGCGCCTAGAATTTCTAGGTATCTTCTGCATAAATGTTATTTGCGATCCACCACTCTGGTTTCCTCCGAGATCGCTTGCTTCTGCGGGGACTCATCTCCTCTCGATAACCTGAATCACATTTCAGTAATGTCGGATCCATAAACGCTCTTGCACATATGGTCCATATGATATGGAAGGCATCTATGCGTGACCCTGCTCCTCACTCGGATTTGGTTCTTCTCCTACTTCCAATTCCATGTTTGTCGATGGCTCTCGCATACTGGTCTCTGCCCGCCGTCTTTTACCTGTCATCCGAGGAACCTTGGTGAGGGTCTATTGCTAGTAGACTTCGTTCATTTCACGCATTTACTTGAGGTTGCCTCCTTTGACTTCTCAGTTCTTGCCTTTCCGCTCCTCGATCTACTCCGTCCTGAGTTACTAGTTATTGACGAGACGTAGCAAGGTAAGTAACTTACTCTCTGATACTCTGCCTTCTATTTGCCCATGCACGTTGGAGACGTTTTCCAGGGCTGCTATCTCATCTACAGATGGCGGACCGCTCTGCTTGATGGTCGTTTCCTCCGCCATTGCTTACCACTCCTCTGCATAGCTGCTGCCGCTACTAGAGCCGATTCCGGTACTCCTTTTGTCAACCATGAACTTCCCGCAAGCCCCCCTAAGAAGGAAAAAAATCATTTCTAGAGACAGTCCCCCAAGCAGTTGTGGTTCTTTTCTCATTTCTTCCTTGCTGATCGGACATGAGAGTGGTGGAGAGCTGAGCTGGACGTAGTGCAGACCTTTAATCTCTAATGGCAGTGCACAGTCTGTCGCATTTCTCAACACCAACTGATACTTTACGGTGTAATTATGGACCGCCCCAATAATCGATTTGTGCTCCTTGGGTTTTGTCGTTCTTCCTTGGATTTTGTACTTCACCCAACTAACTTCATAGTCACATCAAACGGATCCAATACAATATTGATATAAGTAGTCAATATGCAATGTGACGAGCAGAACGAAGGCTATCACGATGGGGAGATATACAAAATCCAAGGAAGGCAAAGAACAAAACAGAATAAATAACAAAGAAGAAAAACAAAGAACGCGGGTAATTCGTAGAAGGGGAAACCCGAAACCCAACCCGAAACCCGAACTGTTATAGGAGTGAAAGCTGTCACCCAAGGTAACCAGAAACCTGAACTATTGTAAGAGTGAAAACTGTCACCCAAGGCAACCAGAAGTGGGACGAAGGAAAAATTGCTGGCGAGCGCGAGTAAAATGGGTAGCGACGGAGAGAAAATGGTGGTCCGCGTCGAGATACAACCCGAGGTTGTCAACCTCACGCGTTCTTAGGCGGGCGCTGAACGACGGGACTTTAATAGCAGAAAAAGGCCGTTACCCGGAATCGAACCCCCGGTCAGAGCGTGCCACGGAAGAAAAAGTTGATGGTTAGCCGGCGCCGCCCCGAAAATATCGCGCACGCCCCAATTGCTGTCCATCCGCCCTGATTTATCCTCCTCGTCCCTAGCACGATCCGTTCCGCCTTATCTAGCTCATTGTCGAGGATCACAAGTGTGGCATATTGATTACAGCGATTTGAGTCTTAACCAGCGTAGGTTAGGGCGAGGTCGGGGGAACTATCATGGCCTAGGCCAATACTCAACGGTACTCTATTAACATTGTTCTATCTCCGTTCAGATTACCTGTTACAATGTCTCGTAATTAGAGTCCGACCTACAGTATGCGGGGTTCTTCGACTATTTATCCTTTCGGCGAGTCGTCCAGAGGACTCGATGTAGCGGGGTTCTATGTATCTCATCCAACGGGTTCTCATACTCTGGAATGTGTGCGGTGGCGCTATACCTAGGAAGACAAGAGTATGCTGATCGGGCAGAGCCGACAGCTCTAAACTGCGTCACTCACCTTGCTGCTCAGCTTTCCTCCAGACCTTATATCCGCATGCCCTGACCAACTTCCCGCATCGCATAGCAACAGCAGCCTCGGCGACTATGAAACTGAATATCTTCTTGTCGTCCTCGTCAGTGAAGGCGTGGTTAGTCATGTGAAATCTAATTTCTACTAACCATAAGGAGTATAGCGGGCACGATCCCTCGTGGAGACACTCGCTGAAACGGCCGTGACGCGTAGCATCGATCTCTCTTGCATTCCATTGTCATGGATATAGGATCTAGTTACTGAATTCCAGAATGATTTTACTGTAAGCGACTCCTCTTTATGAACCTCTGCCCATGATAATCAGTTGGAAAACAACTGCTTTGTAGTGTTGAAGCGGGTTGAT